TTATCACATAACCAAATAGCAGAAAAAATTGCTGTGTGTCATCATTAGTGAGTGTGGAGTGTGTTTCAGCTGGAGAATTGCTGTGCTGCAATAAGGTTCCCTCTCTGCTCTTCCTGGTGCCATATGCTGCCATAATTAGTGCAGGCAAAAGGTAATGAGAGCACAGTGGAGAAGGGGGAGCTCGATGGGAAGCAGGTTGATCGCTAAAGCTCTGCATTATGTCATCCCCACATAAACCACGATGCAGTTTTAACCCAGATTTTTAGTGTTGTGCTTACATTTTGGGGAGTTTTCCTGCCTTTGAGAGCCACCATTACTTACCCAGTGTGTATATTTATGCTGTAATTGCTGCACTGATCTCTCCCAAATACCTGGGAAGCTTTTTCCAGAGGTAGTCACTCCTGGTTTTTTGGTGGGACTTTATATAATGAGATGAAACTCATATTGGCTTGATTTAAAGATTACAGAATGTCTGTATCTAGAGATTTTTTCATTTAGAGGCGAAAGAGCATTCTCATGCTGAGCTCACAGTCATACAAAGTTACCTTCTCCACTATCCTTTTACTTGAATCAGTCACGAAAAATTTCAGGTGCTGCCATTATATGTTCCAGTGCCAGAAGGAGCAAGGATTCCCAATGTGGGTAATGTGAAGGTTTTTCATTGCAAATGCAAATGTGGAGCTATACTTGGGCGAAATATTGGGTCTGGTCAACCAATAGTTTAAAGTTATGTCAGTGGGACCAGGATCCCTGAGAGGAACAAGTGTGAATCGGATATCTAGTGTATGGAAAAGCTTTGTTGTATTTCTGATACTGACTCTTGCCAGACTGAAATGCTATGAAAATGGTTACTATCACTATCTTATCATAGAATCACAAGAATGGTTTGGGGTGGAAGGGACCTTAAAGATCACCTCGTTCCAACTCCCTGCCGTGGTGGGTTGACACTTTCAGACTTGCCCCAGACCACAAAGTAAACACACAGGTATAAATGTGTGTATCACAGAGGACATTTTTACTCATCTTGGTATTTAACTCTATTTTAAACCTTACCTAAAAAGAATTAAGGAGATAGGCAATTTAGATATGAAAATTTAGATAGAAAATGCCAGTAAATATCTTGCTGCATCTTTAGAAAACCATTCAAATATTCTTTTCTATTCCGTCTGTCTCGGTACTTTTGATGTCCCTCATTGCTATGTGTTCTAGACCTTTTGCAATGATTTACAGATTTTATCCCTTTAACAGCTTTTCAAGGTGTAAATACATCCTCACTGCTTTAAAGATGAGTTGAGGATGTAGTATGAATTAAAGACTTCCCTAATTCCATTGTGACAGGGCTGGGACTCAACATTCCAACGTCTGAGTCCCAGCTCAGCCAGACCAGCCGTGCTCAGCCCCCCCCCAGTGTCAGCTCGCTGCCTGCAGTCTGCTCTGGTAACAGAGCCTAACTAGAGAGTCACACAGATAATTCATGGGGGCAGTGCCACTGCAGCACTTCTTTTCTGCTGTATGTTCTGGTGGAACAGTCCCTGCAGGCCAGGCCATGGCTCGAGCACTCTCCAGACGCACCAGGATGAAACCCCCCCATACTGACAAGCCTGGCAGAATTGCTGCCCTTAGCTCTGGTCAGTGCTGCACACCAGACTGGCTCAGATGTGTCATTCAGCACAGATTTGGCGCTGCTTCACTTTGCCTTCCTTCTCTTTCTGTCGCAGTGTAAGAGCCAGGACCCCTTGACTCAACACGGGAAAAGTCGAACGATTCCCAAGCTCTGGAATCCCTTGCCAAGAGCAGCATCTGACTGTGCCTGGCTGCTGTCCTGTGACACCCTGGGCTATTGCACTGTTGGCTGGCAAATCCTTTTTGTGGCTGCTGCAGGGCTGTGGCTCTGCTGAGGTGTCTGTGTCCGTGTTATCACCACTGTTGTGTGTAATGATCTTTTTGCTAATCAAGCTGTAGCCACCAGCACCGTGCGTGTCTGCGAGCAGCCCCAGGAGCTGTTCTCTGAATTATCTCCCTCTGTCACTATTTATAAATTTTAAATTATTTCCATATATTTGCTACTTCATTTTAGCCCTGCACCAAACAGACCAAGTGCATACTTTGGTGTGTGTTCTCTTGTTTTTCATCTACAACCTCTCTGTGTTTCTTTGTAGGTCTTCATTTTTATTTAATTTTTTTTTATTTATTTTAAACCAATACAGCTTACCAGCTTACAGTTCCCAAGGGCTTGTATGATGACAGGGTAGGGGCAAGAGGGTGTGACAGATTTTGGCTGTGACCTGCTTGCACTAGGTTATTGTCCTTGCAATATCTTTAAGCCAGATATTGTAAAGAAAGCAGCACAAACAATTCCCTCAGACTGGAACTCATCTGCTGCAGTGTTTAAATATATACCTTAAATAAGGTCCACAAGCAGCACTAAATTTCACTATTGCAATGTAGAATAAGACAAAAATAGGGAATAACTGGCACATCAGAGAGCAGAGTTTCATACACTTCCCTCCAGATGTATCAGTGCTTAGGATTGAGATGACTGAGCAGGTACACACAGGCAGGTAAGTTCATGTTTAACCACCCAAAAAAATGGTCTGATTTTCAAAACTGCTGTGCAATCAGCAGATCCCACTAAAGTCAGAAGTGAGAAGTGAATCTTTGTATTCTATACTTCTATTTTTACGGTGTTTTTCTGTAATGGGTCTATTCTAAACCTTTTGCTAGCAGAGCCCTCAAAAAATGGAACAAAGAACAATCATGTTAACTGTACTGCAATATGCTCTTACAATAAGTAAAAAATGTGGTGGGAAAGACAAAGTACTACTTTTACAATATCCTGTGCCAAATCACAGGTTATACAATTCAGTTTTTTATTTGCACAGCCAACAGTGCTTTGTAGAGCAATCAGGGAAGATAATACAATCCATTTTACATTCTCATTACTTTAGAAGTGTTGAATCTTCTGAAATTGTTTCAGGGTTAATTGAGAATTTGTTGGTTTACAATAGACTAGGAATTGTTTAGGCTGGCCTGGCTTCATATTTTTGTGCATACCTTTGTTGCAAAGTTATAAAAACAGCCATAAAAGAAGAAACAAAGAAGCGAAATGAAATAATGATCTGCATTGTTGCTATTCCAGGCACTCATTTTTACTGGAGATAAAGCTGGGGTATTGATTAATGTTTAAATGGCTATTAAGTGGAAGGACATGTTGGGTTGATGGAATGCCTCACTATGCACAAGCATTTTCCTTTGCTTCTTTTCCACATATTCCCTCAGGAATAATTTCCGCTCCTGGGGAAACCAGCGGTGAAACTCTGAGTGACTTTTGTGGGAGCATAAGCCAACGGTTTTTCCTGTTTGTCTCTTTTTCTCATAAATTCCAAAAGGCCCTGGCTTCTAATTTTGTCCTTTAACTTATTTTAACATAAAAACAGCTCATAAAAATGTGGAACTTTTCGTGGCTGTGTATACTGAAGTTTTTATCCTGGCTCTGGTGAAGTCAGTCAGGCTCAGCAGCCCTGGGGAAGTCGCATTTTTGAAGCCTGAAGCAAAGTCTTGGTGAAGAAGAGCAGAGCTGTGGGCAGGGTTGTCTGTCAGCCCTTCCTTACCTGTGATAATGGACATCCCAGCACTCTGCTACAGGGATCTACAACTTATTTTTCTGCTGTCCAGAGGGTACAACATCAGATCAGACCTCTGAAACACACATTCAGCGAGACCGTGTCTGTCTTTGTTGGCTTACAACTTATTCTTTTCTCTTCTGTCAACTGCCATTTGATTTCATTTTACTTACTTTTTTTTTTTTACTCCCTAACAAACTGTTGTTTTTGTTTATTCCCTCACAGTTGCACTGATACACTTTTTTTTTGGCAGCATTATCACACAGGACACCTTTCAGGTGAATTCCATTATGAGGCACTGCCTGGGCTCAGATTCATTAAATAATAACAGGTTCCATGTCAATTACTGGTAATTTAAAATGTCTATAGTAGGTTGTAGGGCTGTTTATGACCTATAACAATTCACTACAAAAAAGGATAGGTTATTATCCTAAGTATTGATTATATGATTGGAGTTTTGGTTTAAAATATTAACACATTTAATTGGAGAGGGAATTGGTACCAGTTAATTCAGCTCTGGGTTGTTATATTACTTAATATATTTAACTGAGTATAGAATTAAGCCCTAATCATGAACATTCTTACATTTATTGCTTGAGCCAAGTAGGGAAGTTCTCAGTGTGTAAACTCCACAGTGTCCCTAAACATTTCCAGTTTCAGGGTCTGAATATCTGCGCTGATTAATGGAAAAAAAGCACAACAGGGAACTTTATGTCAGAGGATCTTAGAGGCAGCATTTGCAAGTCCTGATTTAGGCCACATTCACGTGGTTGAATTTAATCATCAGAAGGAAACTACAGATCCAAGACTGCAGAACAAATGTCTGCAAACAGGATCTGGGTGTAACCACCTCCTGTTAGACCTCATGAATTCATTGTCTAATTCTCTTTTTGCTACCATACCCTACAGTTTAGTTCATTTCTAACTAATTATAAGAAAAAAAAAATGAAAAACACTCAAAAAAGTAAATTAACACAATTTCTAGTCGAAGCAGAATTTTGAGCGTGGAAAAAGGAGGACTGTGATGGGATTCATGAAGTCTGTAAATACCAGTGTTGATGGAGAGGCCTGGTACTCTGCTGTACTCTGACTGTATAGCGCAGGTCCTATATAATGTTTGCAATATTGATTTCTGTCCTACTCTTTGGGGACATATATATTTCTAAAGAAACTCTCTTCAACTTCTCCTTCTGTCAGCTAAATTTAACAATCAAGAACCATCTCTAAGGGAAAGCACAAGGTTTAGGTTCTATTTCCAAATTATTAAGAGATCCACCCACAAAAACCAGTGAGTGCAAAGACATATTCCCTTCTGGTAATTTAGTTGTTTTATGTTTAAATCTATGATTTTTCAACAGCTGCTCTGCTTTGATTCAGGTATTCAGTTCACAAGGACCCAGCAGGGTGGCTGGAGATCAACCCCACCAACGGCACCATCGGCACCACGGCTGTCCTGGATCGAGAGTCTCCCTACGTGCAGGACAACGTGTACACTGCCCTCTTCCTGGCCATAGACAGTGGTGAGTACCTAGCATGGATAAGATTAGGAATATATTATTATAAAGAATAATTTTTCCCCCCTTGCTTGGAGCTTTCTGATCCGAAAGGTGCACACGTGACCTTAAGCATTTGCTTCAACAGCTTTAATTTAGGTTTACAACTCACACGTTTATTACTACACTGAGATCTTAATTCCAGGTATAAATAGTCTAGGAACAGTCTTGGAAAGTAATAAATCATCTGTATCAGAGTTAATTTCTTCACAGTATTTGAGCAGTCAGTAAGCCTGAGGCACCTAAATACCAATAACAACTCATCCCTGAAATGCTGCATTCTATTCTATTCGATACAATGATAGTGACAATAAAAACATAAGTAAAAACCCCTGTTGAAACACAACAATTTTTACATATTGTGTGTATTAAAGTCCCTTCTGTCAAATAGAATCAAAATTAAGCTCTCTAGGAAAAATTCAGCAAGTGACTTTGGAGGAGAGAAAGAAAAAGAAAATCTTGAACATTCCAAATCTCCAGACCTAAAGGTACAAAATAAATAAAAGATTTGCCTGTAATATAACAGCTAATATGCTAAGGCTTTTTCACAGCTGCAGCTGGTTTAGCCCTGGTGATGAATTGTAAAATGTTCTTTTTAGGAGAGTAATTCTACATTTTTGTCACCACATGACTCAGGGAACATTTGCAGGGCCTGACAGGAGAAAAAAAATATTACCTGAAGTATAACAGAAAAAAATTCTGCTGAAGTGTTGATTTATTTATATATTAATATATGTATTTTCCTTAGGAAATTTCCATGGCAAAATGTAGCACTAAACACATTTCTGTCATTTGTTTGCTATTGGATAAGGATTTTTTTTTTTTTAAAATGCATCTTAAAATCTGATACACTGGGAAATATCATCTCACAATGAAGGTAAAAATTTGGGATGAGGGGTTACCAGAAGGACAAAGTCATGTTTTAAAGGTGGAGTGAGATATCATCAAAGAGAGTAGATGGAAAAAGAGGCTGAATGGTTTTGCCTGTGAAAACCAGCTTGAATGAGGTGGATTTGGGGGAAGACCTTTATGTTGTGCTTAGGGCAGAATCTCACTGAAAGGTGACCCCTCTTAATTCCCAGAATTTTTTCCGTTCTGGAAAAAAAAGAGAGAAAGGGAAAGGTGTCTGTGAGCTGAACAGCAGAGCAAGAGAAAAAAGGAATCCTGTTCATTATTTGAGGTTTTGAGGCAACGCTCGGTACCAGCAGCTGTGACTGTGTATTTGTGACTGCACAGCTCCCTTAGTGCAGTTCATCCACTCCAACATTATTGACTTCTTTGAATGAAGTAATTAGAAACCACATGTGTGCATTTAGTGCTGTCATGCCAAGGTGTTAATAATGATCATTCCCGAGCCCTGTGCTCCTTCACTGTGTGTAGCCCAGCCACACGTGGAAGTTGGAATAAACAGCACAATTTAAATAACTGATATTCACCTTGTGGTTTGTATCACCTCTGGATTAATTACCAAACTTTAAACTCAGAGGCAGGCCCCCTGGGACTGACAATATCCCTAGAGAGTGTTCCCCAACTTATTTCCAGGCAAAGCTGTGAAACCCAGTTCATCTCCTTACCCATCAGAGCTGATGTCCATCTTGAAAAGAAATATTACCTTAGATGAGAAATCAAATTGTGTAGAACGATATGAAATGAATGCAGGACTCTTTCAGGACTTTAAAAGAAGGTTATGTTAACTTAAAAAGGAAAAAAAAAAAATCAGATAGCTATATGAGCTCTCTTAAAAGCGTTCCCAAAGAGAGCAAATCCCTTTCTTCAGGTTTGTAAGTGGAGTCTGTCTAATGCCAGTGAATATGGTGGGGACTTTTAACTGAGAGGGCAGCCAAAGGCAGGATTAAGGATTGCCAAATGAAAGAGAGCAATAAAGTGAAAATTCAGAGGCACTTCCAAGAGAGCAGGTCATTTGCTTGGACTAAAAGACTTGGGGTGAAAAGGAAGGAGAGGGGAAAAAACACATAGTTAGTAAGAAATGCTTTTTTCAAAAGTGTTCAGTGGAGGTTCTTTCCTTTGGCCTCTCATTTTATCTCTGAGTCAAATCTAAAGTCTGAGATGCCACAGGCTTTCTTTTTCTTCCCTGGGGAAGAGATCCCAGATGGTGCCATGGCAAAGTCCAGCAGTGGGAGTTCATACCCAGGCAGCTCCAAGCAGAGCAGACACTGCGAGTGTGTGCTAATCTCTAACAGTATTTATAGTGAATAAATCTTAAATCAAATAAAGCCTTGACTCTCAGACACTGATAAACAACCTTCAATATATGCTAAACCAGTAAATAAACATAGCATTATTATTTTGTTTCCTAGCATATAGAGTTTATATACAAATATATATATATATATATATATGGTTACACAAAAGATACTGTTGTGCCATCCTATTCCATGATCAGCTCTTTTTAAAAGGACCTTCCATTCATGTGCTGTGTTGGCTGAAGAGTGGAGACAGCTGAAAACAAACCTCCCCGTGATTCTTTATTCATCCCCTTCTGCTGATGTCAATAGAGAATCTGTCATCAGTTCCAGCAGCACTGGCTCCTTGTTATTTCACTTCAGCACAGGGAACAAATATCAGGACACCTTTTTTTATCTGTACAGTGTTGGAGATTTCTGTCAGACGTAGAACCAGGAGCTTCATGCTCGGTAGTTCTTTATATAAATCCATCATATCTTTCTCTCTTTTTGGTAAATCACAAAACTGCTCTTTACCAGTAGCACAGTAACCATGAATGGGTCATAGAACATGCAGTCATTCCACTGCAGGAAATAATTTAGTTCTTTATGAGATTCTTTTTGACCTTTATGACATTATTTCTCAGCATTATCAAATTAACAGCAGGTAAAGGTAGTTAAGTCTGAGTAATATTATTTCTGATCTAAATAGTTCCTGCACCTTCCCAAACACAATTGAAACAATGTGTGAGAACAAATTTGATGGAAACAGTGTTAATTTTATAGATAATAAATTTTGACCATTTATGGGGGTAAATTACACTTTAAAAAGGACTCCTGCAATGAGTATCCTAATTTTCTCTGTACATTTGATTTTAGTGAAAGGTCAAGGTAGCGTCTTTAGAATTTAAAAACTTTTTATTAAATACCTGTGTGGACACAGAGTCTCTGGTCTATTAAAGAAGAAATTAAACACTGGTAAGAAATATCATGAAGCAGAGTTAACACATTAAAGTGCCATGAACTGCATTTAATCTGAGAATGAGCTGATAATGGGACAGAGTCAGGTTTATGTAAACTTGGAAACAGCAGAGGTTTCATTCAATTAGCAAAAGTGATTGTTTCATTCCCTGAATTGAGCACTAATCACTAACCCCAGTGCAGTGTCAGGAGCAAATAGAGCAGTTCTTGGGAGTAGATCTGTAAAACACACCTCTGTGAAATACAGGCAAGAAAACACTTGAATTGGAGAAATCTGCATGAGCAAACCTTCCAAATTTGCTGCATGACCATGTGGTGGGGTCATCCTACAGATCCTGTTATGCACCGGAGTACTCTGGATGACTATCATAAAGCAGAATATCTGTAGGTTTTCCTCATTGAGGTCAGTCATGATAAAAAGCCCGCAGGAAAGGTCTTTATCCCTCTGTATTCTGAGAGTTTGAGTCACAGTTTGGAAGAAGGAAGGAAGGAAGGAATAAAACATGTCTGGAGGTGAAGCTAAAAAATACCTGGGAAATGTATGAAATCTTAAAAAGCTAAAATTGGTTTCTCCCTTTTCTTTAAGAGGCATGAATAATGAAATATCCCCAGATTCAGTTTATTTATGCAATAGTCACTCCTTTTGTGGAAGGGCAGGATGCCCCAGTTAATATCCCCATTTTGTAGCTGTTTCTGTCTCTTTAGAAGAAAATCTTTGGTTACCTTTCTTTGCCTGGTACACAGAAAAAAAACCACCCATGCTGTTCAAGCCTGTCATCTGGTGACAAGTGATGACACACTAATCTTGCTGATTGGGTTAAATGCAGTTATCAGCTCCACTTTTCTCAGGCCACCATGGTGGGCCTACCAGCCTTCCAAAGCCAGGGAGAAATATTCTCCCACAGGGACAGATCCTCTCACCCAGAGTGAGAGTGGCACCTTCCCTCCTGCTCTTCTTGGCATCAGGAATATGAGTACTTCTACTATAGGAAACACAGAGAATAAAAGTCATTAAAAGTGTGGCAGCTCTTCCAGATGTTAAAGACGATCAGAGATGAAGTTAAGGGTTTGAATTTTTAGGTGATGTAGCTTCCAACCCAGGAAATTCCCAGTAAATTCTGCTGTGTTTCTCACAACAGAACCACGTGAGGGAAAACAACTTCTCTGTTTTCTGGAAAGGGAGTTTTCCCCTACATGATGTCACCATCCCCAGCGTGTGACCTCACAGCCAGGGCAGGATGTCCCACAGGAGGGCTGAGCTGGAGGAAGCATTCCTGTCTCATGGAGTGGATGTTTCAGCAAGGGAAAGGTTGAGAGAGATGTGATTCCGCAGGTGTGATTTCAGTGTTCTCCTTGAGAGCTTCACGTGCCAGTTAAAAACAAAAAGCAACTTGGATGTTGCTTCTATGGCTGGCAGTTGCACGTGTGTAAATTGGCAAGATGGGGAGCGTTATTTCAGTTTTCCTGAGCAAAATAAAGAAGTCCTGAATCAGGGCACCCAAGCCATTCCAAATCTCATTTATTGTGCAAGTCTCGATACTACTGATCATTAAAAAGAAAAAAAAAAATTATCATTCTGTTCTCTGCCTGATGAACAGTAACACGCAATACCTAGAAAAACATGGAATAACAAAGAGATGTGTAGCAATTTGCAATTAGAGTTTTTCCTTATATGTATCTCACCTGTCTTCTTGCATCATGATGTACATAATTAAATTACCATAGATTAATTCCACCTAAAACATGCTATTTTTGAAGAAATCAGGCAATTAGTTACCATGGCAACCCAATTAAGCCAGTTTT